ACAGGGCCAGGATTGTTGCTCTGACGTGGATGTTTGGAGTCCGAAAGAGCCGACGTATATCTTAAAGAAACTTCTATAAGTCGCTTTCAAAGAGAAAAGCCTATGTCTTTTTGGAAATTAGAATCGTAGTATATAAATGTGTGAAAGTTTTCCAATTCTGATCGGAACATTATCATTAACGGAGTAAGTAACAGATTTAATCGACATATTTTCGGCAAATCGTGAAGGCAACAGCGGAAAAATCATTTGTTTGGGTTTTGCAAGCAGTAGTTCTTCGCCTCGTCTTGCTTGATTGCGGAATGTTGTGACCGTAATTAGCCGATTTTTTATCCATAGAAAATCATATAAGCTCACTGATGGTTAAAAGACTAAATCGAAATTGAATGTTCACCAAGTTGAAGGTGATAAGGTCCAAAACTCAGCTAGCAAAAACTAAACTCTATGCTGCATTTCATGCACAAATGTCCGTGCTCAGGTAGTATATATAACATAAACAGGCTCATAATATAAAACCATAGCTCAGCATCGGTTAGATGTGTTAAAAGTTACCCTGCGCCTTCTGGAAGAGGGCACGTGATAGCGAGCACGTTTTGATTGGCGTCAAGCATATCAAGGCAAACGTGACCATCACGAGTAGCTCTTTCGATCTTAAAATGTGATGAAACTTATCTAACATTTGTGACCATTGATGTGACCTTATATTATTGTATAAGCAAACCTTATTTTCCCCACAACGACAGGTGCCAACTCCGGCTGAAGTATCACAAAAAGCGTCTGGCCATACGGATGAACATTGCTCGTTGTAGACACAGCCAGGTTGACCAGGATCAATTTCTAAAGTAAAACCGATATATTGCATTTGAAGTGGTCCAATAGCCAACATTTACTTTGATAGCAGTATGATTCTGCGGCTATGTAAGAGGTCAAGCAGGCACACAATCCTGAGTTGCAAAACATGCCCTGGAAAGGAGTATAAAGGAGTATCATTGGAGGGTTCTCTTGCGCCTTTTCCCTATTTCTATTCGTGTCTCCAGCACTCACCGTGA